GGCAGGTGTCACCGTAATTCTGCAATAGCGCCCTCATAGCCTGATGTAGGACAGTCCGAAAACTGTGTGCAATCTGTGTACAAAGTCTATGGGAAAAATTTATTCTTAAAAAATCAATAATAAATAAAACTACTTAAGCTATCACTGTGAATTTCTTCTAGGACCGTCCTTGGATGATGGCTCAAAGGTCTGTCAAGTTTGAAGTCGATCAGATTTAGTAAACTGCCAAAGTCGACTGGTGGAAGGAATTGAGTTGAAGAAGAAAAAAAAAATAATCAGACAAACAATAACTGCCGAAACAGCTAAAAAATCAGAAAAACAATACTAATTTGGCAAAGTTGCAGAAACAGCTAAAAAAATCTAGATAGAAGTGTTTGTAAACAAGTACAAACACAGAACTGTTTCGGGACTGTTTCACCAACAAAATAAGTATTGGCAATTGTGATGAAAAAAAAACTGAAACTACGTCCCCACACAGATCATCAGGTGTCTTGCCCCTTTTTTAATCAACGGAAAAGTAGAATCCAGACAAAATTAATAACATATGACATTTCGATAATGTCCGTTATGAACAAACCAATTGTTTATGACGTCTTCACTAAATGAGATCAATATTTGCCTAAAACACTTCCTCTCCAAGATATAAGCAGGGTTTCAACCCAGCACTAACACCGACAGGTTCATTCTGTTGAAAAAAAATTAATGGCTTTTACCACTTGTAAACAACAAGCCTACTTTCGGTTTAAACCGAAAGGAAGGGTCATGTTATTTGACGTACACGAGACGAATTCAAGACCACATTTTATCCTGGCCCTTGCTGCAAACAGAATGTTGCGGGGGGCCATGATTGATTTTATCTGGATTTTTATATATTTAACGGAATATTAAAATATTAAAATTTAATAATAAATCATGTGATAATGTCATCATGACGTAAATATTTTAGAATTATCTTCATTGTATAGTTAGTGCTTGCTGAAAATTTGGTGATGATTAACGATTACTAAGGTACGAATATAGTGCCTCGAAAACGTGTACAAACTCAATGAAATGAAATACACATTGAAAAATCAATAATAAATCACATAATGACGTCATCAAGACGTCATACATTTGGACGTATCTTTGCAACAGGGTCTTTGTTGGCTGTAACTTTGAAGTTGATCAAAGCTCTCAACCTAACCCAAATGCTGGCTTGAAAACGTGCACAATTCAATGGGCTGAAATAAATATTGAAAAATCAAAAGTAAATCACATGATGACGCCATCATGACTCATTTACTTATGATAATTTTTGTATCACAGTCTTTGTTGGCTGTCACTTTGCCAACCATAAAACATCGGAAAGGTTTCAAAATTGTACCTTGAAAACGTGTACAAAGCCAATGGGCAAAAAAACTCATTTGCGGAAACGTTGCTCCTTTGAGTTCATGTCACGTGATTTGCGCTTAAACTGAACACTTTTTACGAAATATTACTTCATATTGGGACTCTTAGGCATATTTCAGATAAAATAACACGTGTAAAGCACCCGATTTCTCTTTCATTCTTATAGTAATCTTGTGCCAAAGTTAAAGACTACTTGTTCATTTGTGTTAAGTAGAAAAACGTGTACAAAACCTATGAGGAAAAATTAAATATTCAAAAATGAATATAAAATAAGGTGATTATGCCATCATGATGTCATCCCTTTGCAATAAATCTTGCCCCAGGGTCTTTGTTGGCTATCACTTTGGGAACGATCAAACATTGCAAAGTTACCACAATTGTGGCTCAAATACGTGTACAAAGTCAATTGGCTAGAAACATGTGTGCAAGAAAACTGCTCCTTTCTTTTCATGTCATGTGATTTTTGTCTAAACTGGAAAAACCTTATGAAATGTTATAAAAGATATGAATTGGTATGATTTCTCTTTCATTCTGCCAGTAATTCTCAGTCGAAGTTGAGGACTGCTTACACATTATGCTGGACAATGTGTGTACAAACACATTAATTCAGTTTAGGTTAATTTAGATGTATATTCTTATGGTTACGCATAACATTTATTTTTTTTAGCCCTTATCTTTGTGCATTTATTTTAAAATTCACATTTAGCCACTTTACTTTCGGTTAAACCTCAGTTTTCCATCTTTGTCTATTATTAAACATTTTAAAAACAACTTGAGCAATCACAATTCATGTACAATTTTGCAAAACAGATTGTTTAGAAACTTACGTATGATACTTCGCAGATGAATGACATGATATTCCAAATGTATGTATTTTCCAAACAAAAGAATTTTCTTTGGTGACTGAGAAATTTCGAAGAGTAAGCATGTCCTTCCAAGGTTGTAAACGTAATCTTCATTTGAAGACAGTAAAGTGTAGTTCTCAAATCAGTCACTCGAGAAACTTACTTGTTGGTGGGGTAAAAGGTCCCCAGTTCTGTACAGTCATATCGATGCCTTTGCTAACTTAAATGTAGCATATTTCCGCAACAAACGTATAGATATAAATCATTTGGACCGTACGACAGTGAGTGTACCATGTCATACACTGATGGTGTCGACTGCATGTCTATGTGTTACTTTGTGTAAAGCATGTACTGTGCCTGTGAATGAAAAATAGTTGTGCACCCAGCCAAATGTGTTAGCAGCACTATCAACGTGTTGGAAAGTTGACTCTGTTACAGAATGCATCTGCAAAGGGGCATTAATAGAGACAATGGAGGAACATTTCTGAGATCTATAACAGCAATACTGCTTGGTTCTCATTGTGGACCTCTTAATGGACTTAGAATGGGAAGAACCGATTAGAAAAAGAGGAGTACACAAACACTGTATAATCAGAACATCAAGCTTGACAAATGTTACTCCAATAACTGGGGTTGAGGTGTGAGATACCAGCAAAAAGGGAGTCTATCAAGGGCTGTGTGTTGCAAGTATCACTCCAACTTAACCACCTGAAAGGCATCAAAACATCAATAAAAGAACTCAAAGGGAGAACCCAATAACAGTTGAAGATATATGAAAAAATACATGTAAAGAATACAATGGTAAAGATTGATAAAGAGCAGATCACAGAAACGAGAAATGGGATAACTTGAGGAGAAATCCAATGAGAAAAGAGGGCGTGTCGGTGGTTGGGCTGCAAGGTACAACATTTGCAACCCATCCACTGTAAATGTTGGCAAATGGTTTGAGATAATCACATGTTGTAATGTTCAAGGTGTAAGACCAATGCAGTGGAATAAAGAAATATTTAGCTCTCCTTGACAAGAGTAATGTAAACATGTTTCACTTGAACAAAAACTGGCCAAAATGAAAATGTATTTGAAAAAGGCTAGCCTGTCTGTCATGGCTGGCTGGCAAGACATTTGGGACTGAGTTGTGGGGACAAACATTCATCCCCATAATGACTCTATACCACAATAACTATCACTGAATAAGTGAGTAGTCCCTAAGACTACAGTAAAAGTACATTATACATGTACATGAACATGTATGGTACCTGTATGTGTACACATACTGTACACACATTTCTCTAACTTTAACCACAATGACCTCCGGACCCAAAAATGGTACATTCCAGACCCCCCAAGACCAACTACCAGGACATTTAAAGTTTCTAGTTAATTTTTTCATGCCTAATCCTAACGTTACTCAAGTTTACATCTACATGCACACCCAGGATGACAAGGCAGAGACAGCATTCCTCTGTTGACTACTTGCGAAGCATAGAAAGATCTCATGATTAGTGATCAAGTCACTGGCTAAAAACCTTCCTTCCCCATTTGGTGGTCCCAAATGATAACAGCTTAAAAATACTCTACCTACAAAACTTACTCAGTGACTGATGTGTTATTTTTCTTGGCTGCAAAATGAAGGGGTGTCCAATGGTTGAGACTACAACATGTATTTGGATCTGCACCCAGGATACATATCAGAGCCTGCAAATAGACCAAAAAGTACGCGAAGGACTTAACCAGAGAGGATTAAATTGAAGTAATACATTTACATAGTTTGAAATGGGATTCATAAATAAATCAAATATTGCTTGGGTTGTTTGAAACAGCTGGGTTTAAATCCTTTTCCTGTTTCGTATGACTTTTGACTCATACAGGTCCATGACAAATTGACAATGACTGGCCTAGTCATCGTTATGCATGTGTAGGCACAGTAAAATCTCAATAAGTCGAAGCTCAGGGGAATGGATGAAGAGTTCAAGTTATCCGACGTTCGAGTTATCAAAAGTTACGCGCTTCAGTGCACATGCAACCTTACTGGCTTACGGCAGTTGGCCTGCAAGCTGAGTCGAACACAAAGTGGATTTTAGGCTATCCCTACTGTGCAAGTTTTCTTCAAACATCATCATTAAACATGTTTTTATGTGGTACATTAATAACCAATAAACCAATAAAGTAATCTACCGGTGCCTGTGTCTACGTTTTGAGAATTCATTCATTTGCTTTGCTTGATCGGGCTGTTACTGCATAACACAGCACGCGGGCCAGTCGGTCAGGGTTTCTGGGCTGGGTCACGTGATACATGTACAGAGTGCTTGAGGGTGCATCATACATGCCTGATTTATTTTATGGTTGCGGTTGATGCCCACCTAGTGCTTGTCGACATGACAATGGCAGCCCATGTGAACATGCTCGGCTCATCAAAGAAAAGCCATGAGCGTGACAGTAATGACTCATAATGAAGGCAAGCGTTCTTTCATCACTTTTTATTCATCATTTTTCAGTGATTTTTCAAATTTGCCTGCCAAAACTTCCAGATAAGTGGTATTGATGTTTCGAGTTACAGTGGGTATATTGTACATAAAGGGCCTATTCTTTTGTCAGGAATACAGAAAGACGTTGAGGTAAACAAAGTTTTGACTTAACGGGCTTCGACTTATCAAGGTTTTACTGTATGTACTTGTATGTGTACACTGTTGTAAAACACAACAACAGGTCCAAATTTCCAGAGTTGTAGATTTG